AGACGTTAAGAAGAAGCACAATAAGTTCCCAGATGACGCCGAGGTCCGGGGTATTTAAGGAGCCGACTCAGGTAGCACCTTAATTACCTTAATGAATGAAAATTTTATGCATGTTTATCAATAAATGTATAAAAAGTTGTGTCTACAGATAAAGAACATGTGGGATGGTGAACTCCATAACATTGTGCAGATGAGCTTTGGGATGTCCACTGCCCCTAATGGTTTAGCAGCTGAAGGTACAATAATCGCTACTCCTTATGATATCGACATCGAAAACGCTATCATAAAGTCCTTGAACTGAGATATAAATTGGTCTGTTCTTGCAGGATCTGATTCACCAGGCAATACAAAAGTTGAACAACACTGAAAGTTCTTTTCAAATGCCATGAACCATTTCTGCTTCATGTACAGGTACATTACTATTAGTACTATACGAGATACTTTGCCACGAACTATTTCTACTTCGTGGTAGTGCAAAACATACCATTACCGTACTTGAAGCTGTGATACTCGAGCTGGTAACCGAGGCAGAACATCAGCTTCCTAGTCCCGACAATCGCCAAGAACTCAATGACCTGGTAGAGAAGCAGTTTTCATTCTTGTTGGTTCGGATTCTTGGCGAGTGCTTGCCTTAGTCAATGTATAGAGACCGAGGATTCGATGTCTGGAAACCGAGGAACAGCTGATAAACACAGCTGATAGTGTCTGAGCTGAAGTGGGTTGGGTGTAACTTTTACAATTCTGTAGAGGGAATAACTTGTTTAGTGTTAAAGGATTTGAGTTTTGACGTTGAGATCAATGAAATGTCTGTATCTTAGTAAGAACTTGATGAGTTGTTATTACTGCTTTCTTCTGCATCAAGCATGAAAGAATCTTAGGCTTTCATGGTGGATGGAGGAAGTTGTTCGGTCGGTTGCTTGAATGAAGACACCCGATTAACCCGACTTTCTCAAATGCCCACCGTTGGCCCTGATCCTTTATGGGTTTGGATTTTGTGCTTCGTTTCCGTGCTTCTTTCTGTATCCTGATGTCATTTACTGCCATGTCTTCAATTTGCTCTAGTTTGATGTAACCTTCCAAAATCACGTCTTGGACGTGGTCGTAGATTCGAATCTTTTCCTTGTGATGATTGTTGTTATCATGCTTAAGTCGATAACGATATAAAAGATGTTGTGAATGGAGGAAGTCGAGAACGATATAAAAGAATCTTTGGCTTTCATGGTGGATGGAGGAAGTCGTTTGGTTCGTTGCTTGAATGAAGACACCCGATTGGCCCAACTCTCCCAAATGCCCATCGTCTTCCCTGATCCTTTTTGGGTTTGGATTTTGCGCGTCGTTTCTGTGATTCTTTTTGTATCCTGATGTCATTTATTGTCATGTCTTAGATTTGTTCCGGTTTGGTATAACCTTCCAAAACTATGACCTATACGTGGTCGTAGATTCAAATCTTTCACTCGTAATGATTTTTGTTATCATGCTTAAGTCGATAACAATATAAAAGATGGTGTGAAGTAAGTTAGAACGCTAAAATATTTTATAGATTAAAATATCATTTTGTTCTCTATACTTTCAAATATCTAAATTTAGTTCATCATTTGGAATTAATTTTTATCAAAATTGGTAAAATATTTCTAATAAATTTTGTTTAAAAAAAAAAAAAAAAAACTCAAAATGTTAATATATTTTTAGCGGGAAGGTTAATAAAGGTTGCATTATTTATTTGAAGAAATGATTAAATCTGGGTCCAAGACATGGGCGTTCGAAGTAGCGCGCATTGGATCAATGGACTTGAACTGGGCTTGGAGCCGGATCTTGCGAGCAGAAAAATGAGTTTGGAGCGCTAATAGTCGACAGCCCAGAGGAATTCGGGTAATTCTTCTTCGGATTAGTACCCTTTTGCTTTTGATTTTTGGAGAACTGTTAATCTAATCGCAACGCTCTTTCCCGCCAAGTTCTTTTCTTTTTTTGGGGGGGGTTTTTTTAGAAGGGAATATGTCTTATTCATCAAATTACTACGCTGCTGTGCTTAAGTTCTGCTGCGAAGCTCGGAATCAGGCTCATGTTAAGAAGCTTCACTGTCGCATCATCAGGACTGTACCTAATCCAGAAACCTTTCTGTTTAATAATCTCATCAATACCTACGGGAAACTTGGCAACTTGAAGAATGCACGGTATGTGTTCGATCAAATTCCTCACCCAAACCTTTTTTCATGGAACACACTGCTTTCGACGTACTCAAAATTGGGTCACCTCCACGAGATGCAAGAGGTCTTCAATCGTATGCCGAACCATGATGTGGTCTCTTGGAACTCGCTTCTCTCGGGGTATGCGGGTAGTAATTTTATTTCCGAATCGGTTAGAGTTTATAACATGATGTTAGAGGAAGGGTCGGTAAACTTGAATAGGATTACATTTTCTACTATGCTAATACTCTCGTCTAATCGAGGATTTGTTGAATTGGGTCGGCAGATTCATGGGCAAATTTTTAAATTTGGTTATCAATCGTATCAGTTTGTTGGCAGTCCTTTGGTAGATATGTACTCGAAAACGGGATGCATCAATGATGCAAAACGGATTTTTGAAGAGATGCCTGAGAAGAATATAGTTGTGTACAATACTATGATCACAGGTCTTTTGCGGTGTGGATTTATCATGGAAGCTGATCAGTTGTTTCAAAAAATGCCAGAAAAAGATTCGATTTCATGGACAACGATCATAACTGGACTAACCCAAAATGGTTTGTTCAAAGAAGCAATCCACAAGTTTGGAGAAATGAGAACAGAAGGTTTGGGCATGGATCAGTTCACCTTTGGGAGTGTGTTGACTGCTTGTGGCGGTCTTCTGGCACTAGGTGAAGGTAAGCAAATTCACGCCTATATTATTAGGACTGATTATCAAGATAACATCTTCGTAGGAAGTGCTCTAGTTGATATGTATTGCAAGTGTCGGAATGTAAAATATGCGGAAGCAGTGTTTAGAAAAATGAGGCACAAGAATGTAATATCATGGACCGCAATGCTGGTTGGTTATGGCCAGAATGGTTACAGTGAAGAAGCCGTTAGGATATTTCGTGATATGCAGAGAAATGATATTCATCCTGATGATTTTACACTAGGGAGTGTAATTAGCTCATGTGCAAACCTCGCAAGCCTAGAAGAGGGAGCCCAGTTTCATGCCCAAGCTTTAGCTACTGGTTTAATTGGTTTTCTTACGGTTTCAAATGCTTTTGTCACTCTATATGGTAAATGTGGAAGCATAAAATATGCCCACCAGTTGTTTCATGAAATGAAAATCAGGGATGAAGTTTCTTGGACAGCTTTAATCTCAGGTTATGCACAATTTGGAAAAGCCAATGAAACAATATCTTTGTTCGAAACAATGTTGGCCCATGGTTTGGTACCTGATGGAATTACTTTCATTGGAGTTCTATCAGCTTGTAGTAGAGCAGGTTTAGTGGAGAAAGGTTATCATTATTTTGAATGTATGGTAAAAGAACATGGAATTACGCCAATCCCTGATCACTTTACATGCGTGATTGATCTTCTTAGCCGAGCTGGGAGATTAGAAGAAGCAAAAAACTTTATTAATCAGATGCCTTTCAGTCCTGATGCTATCGGTTGGGCAACATTGCTGAGTTCTTGTAGACTTAATGGGAATTTGGAAATTGGAAAATGGGCTGCTGAGTCTCTTTATGAACTAGAGCCACAGAACCCTGCTAGCTATGTTTTATTATCAAGCATTTATGCTGCAAAAGGAAAATGGGATGATGTAGCAAAATTGAGGAAAGGAATGAGAGAAAAGGGCGTAAAAAAGGAACCAGGATACAGTTGGATCAAATATAAAAACAAAGTGCATATTTTCTCAGCAGATGACCGGTCAAGTCCATTTTCAGATCAGATATATGCCAAGTTGGAAAGTTTGTACCAAAAAATGATTGATGAAGGGTATGTGCCCAATATGAGTTTTGTTCTCCATGATGTTGAGAAGTCGGAGAAGATTAATATGCTTAATCACCATAGTGAAAAACTTGCTATTGCCTTTGGTTTGATATTTATACCTGATGGCCTTCAAATTCGAGTTGTAAAAAATCTCAGGGTCTGTGGGGATTGCCACAATGCCACGAAGTACATTTCTAGGATCACCCAGAGAGAGATACTTGTAAGGGATGCAGTCCGTTTCCATTTGTTCAAGGATGGAGTGTGTTCATGTGGGGATTTCTGGTAGCTTTTTTCTATCTAAAACCTCACTCGAAGATGTTGAAACCTCATAATTGTTATGCAAGTAACAAATCAGTTTTATGCGAGTGTGAGACCTACCATCCATCTCGAATGTGTATAATTGTTGTGCCATATTTTATGTTATGAGCCATGAGTTTCACACCGTTCAGTAAATCTAGAAGTGGTATTGAAATGAATTCATCTGATAAATATTGGAGATACTTCTAGCTTGTGTAAAATCTGATGGTTGCTTTAAATGATGGAGGCCAAGTGCTCTATTTCGGCTGCAAGCCTGCAAGTAGAATGGCGACACAACTATTTGATCTGTGTTTCTTAAGTGGTTTTGACACCTTTTCTGCGGATTGATTCCCATGAGGAAATGGGTTTGGAACAGGCCATTCTTTGCTGCATCTCCACAGAAAATTATTTACAACAATTCAGGAAACAACTTCCCTCACTTTTCACTCTTGTTCTCAAGGTAATATTTAATGAAGTTATATTTTTCTCAAACATCATTTTTCCTTTTTTGAAGGTCGAATATGATTAATGCGCAATTGTTTGGAATTTTGATATTCTTCCCAATGGATATTTTTTTTCTTAGACACTTATAGCTTCTTAGTGGGTTATTGTCTTGTTGTGTTGTACCTTTCCTTTACTCAATAAGTTTTTTTATTCAATAAAGACGCTTTTATCCGTTCCTCCATTACTGAAGGGTTTAGAATAATGCATAGCAGTATGTTGCAAAGTATTCCTGGGTTCCCCTGTTAATTATCAGAGCAGAAATTGTTTCAAACTAGACCCAGTTGGTACATGTGAAGTTGTCAAATGATAAGAACAAGCACAGCAATCATTAAAGCTCTTCTGTACAACACAGCCAGGCCAGATAAATTAATTAAAGCACATCTGAGAAAAAGGAACGATGAAAGATGGCAACATTTCTTATATGTTGTTGAAAGTATCAACTGCGAACCATATAGAAACTCCAGATGAGAATTCGTAGTACACTAGGGATAAACTTCGGTTATCTTATTGGGATGTTTCCATGGATGACCCAGGAACTTGTGATTGGCTCTGTATCATGTGAAAGAACAGGTGATTACAATATGATCTTAAATACTGGAGAGAAGGTTAGAGACAGCAGCAAGAGTTACCTGTAATTTTGTACAGATGTTAATTACTTCAGAAAGAGGTGCCCAGTCCCCAAAGTTCCGCTCAATAAACTGGTAAGCAATACCACTCTTCGCTGTGCCAAGAATGAACAGACCACCCTTAATTTCTCCTTCTCCGTTGAAGTTTTGCTTCACTCCCATAGCTTTTGCACGCTTATAATTTGCTATGGCTCGAGGGTTGAAAAGAAATCCAGATAGGAATTTGTCCTTCATTAATTTTCCACCACCTAGGGCTTTGAAGAACCCTCTACCATGGTCAAAGATTACAGTGCCTCCCCAGTACCTGGGCCAGAAGTCCTTCACCTGTATCACCAAAATTTCAGCCAAACAGATTGGTGGGTAGAAGGAGCTTAAAGTTTTATGAATACCTCTGATTCTATGTGTTCGTGAATTACAGCAAATAGTTGAAATCCCAGTGCATCAAATACCGGTTTTCTGGTATATAGCTGGTGAGCTTCTGCTCTGCACATGATACACCTGTTTTCAAACTCAGAGATTTAAGTTATCACTTTCCCTCTAGATGGCTCAAACCCCATTAACAATATAGAAAAGTGACATGAAACACATCTACAGGAGCTAGGGAGTCTCTTTTCGTTTGTGCCTTTTAAGTTTATGTGTCAAAAGTTAGTGGTCTGCAATTTAAAGCCAGGTCTAGAAAAAACATGTTTGAACTTACCCAGGACGTCTAATACAGAGGATTATTGCAGGCTTATTCTGCCATAGTGCTGAAGCTTTCATTGGGGGAGTCTTAGTTTTCACCAAACGCTCCATTCCAATCTTATACTCGGGAGTTAATTTCTGAATGGAGATGCTTTCAATGGCAGAATAAGGAGCAACTTTGTCAACAATAGGAGGAGGTTGCACACAAGCGCAGGCCCTATGGCCGGCTGGTTCTGCTGCAACAATCCCCTTGAATACATATCCTTCTTCAATCTTGAAATCGCTCAGAGCTTCCTCAATTTTTTTGTCCTGAAATGTTCGGCTTCTCATACTCTGCATCCGCTTTGAGCTGTTAGACTGATAAGTCCTTTTGATGCTGGTAGATGGAGAAGGTGCATCAGACTTTTTGGTCAAGGGATCCGCACATGAACTGTTTCTGTCCTTGAAACGTGCTATGTGGCCTCTTTTCATATGGAATTGAGCTGTTAAATCTTCAACGCTCAAGCTTAGAAGTTCTGGCAAACACTTCCCTGAGGACTCTAGCCTGTCCCCATACTGCATCAGAGATCTGTCATGCAGGTAAGTTCTGATCTCCACTGCTTCCTGTCATAACAAAATGAAGGGCCTATGAATTGTTCAAAAGGCTTTTGATAAGCTATGCAAATTCATTACTTAGATGAAATATATGCATGTTTCTACTTACAGAAATCAAGTCAGACATAGACATCTGGAATTGCTTATATTGTTGGAGAGTGTTTCTGTATTAGAACAAGAAAAAGTACTGATTACCAACCTTTTGTTGTTGTGTCATCTTTATTGCATCCATATCCTCAGAATTCATAACCTTCAAGGTTGGTACATCATCCCAGCCTTCTTCCAGCAAAGTCGGAAGCAGATCCTTGAGCACCCCATTCCCCACAAAATCCTCCACAGAGAAAGAAGCCATTTTCTTCAGAGGAAGATTAATGATTCCTGCTGCTAGACACTCCCAGGATTATAAATATTGTTATAGTCTTACAAACTTATCCTAGTAGACTGTTTGGCCTTTGTAAGCAACAATATCAACATGGGAATTTGACTTTATATAGAGGAGAGTTCATAATGTGAACAAAGAACTCACCTGGATATCGAGAAAAGATCAATTTTGAGAGTTATTCAACTTTGAACAGTTCACAACTTTTGGTGGGTTTTCTTTTTCACCACCATGTCTTATCTAGAGACAAGGAACAAAATAGTGTGATGCATTTGATTTCGTCAATATCAAGGGTTTTTCTTTAGAACTGTTCTTGATGCTGTCATCTTCATTTGCTTAAGAAGAAATGCTCTACAAATATTGTCAAAATGAATGATGAAAAGGACTGTCAAATCTTGAATATCAAGAAAAAACATATCCCTAGCGAAATGAGAACGAGTCAGCAGGCACCTCTAAAAGAGACGATGATGGGAAAATCATTAGAGATTAGATGGAAAGGATGGAAGCCTTTCAACTGCTACGGCCAAACCGAAGCACTTTTACTCAGAACAGGACAGAGATTACTAGAAGTTAATACAAAGAAAAAGGTGTTGGTTCGTGATTGATTGGTTGTACCATAAATATTAAACAGATGTGTATATCTAAATTGCTATAGTGGGTTGCAATTGCCGGCCTTACGCCTGCTCTGTTATGTTCTTATTTGGGACAGATAAAGTTGAAAATGCAGGTTTAAGGCTTTGGTCAAGCAAGGTGACTCCAAATGTTTTGTTTGTTTAATATTCATTAGAAGCATAAGATTATTCTAGGATATGGATACAAAACACGAATACGTCATAAACAATAAACATAGTAACACGTTATTTCTTATAAAATTTAGGACTCTTGGTCATAAAAATGACACATGTATTAAAATATATAATTTTTTTTAACACGAGTATTGAAATGTTCAAGCGGTGTAAAACACAAACTAAAAACATGTTTCTTACGTATTATCGTAAGATCTGATTTTTTAAATAAACAAAGTTTTTCTTTTTAAAATCAGTTCCATTATAGAAAAGTTAAGATAAGCAACCAGCTCAAAAATTAGCTTAAACTTTGTATAGTTCCTGAGGAACTCTTTTTCAAAGACTGTTCTATTCTTATTTTTGTTTCAAAAAATAGTCTTGTTATGATAATTCCACAACTTTACATTTTTGCTGTTTGGATTGAAGATTTTCTTTGTAGGGATTCTGAAACTGATCCAAATCAACTTCTTGTCAATAGAGAGAACTTAAAACCTTCTTCGCTTTGATTATTACATCCAGACATGCTGCAAGCAAGATGAAGTTGAAGAGAAAAGGTCAGCCATTTCACTCTTATTTGGGTTTTAGTTCGGCATTCATATGCCAATCATTCCTACAAATTTACCTCAAATTATTATGAATTCATTTCCATCTCGTTCGAACGACACCCTTTTGAGCACACGATGATGTGTTGTAGGTGATGACTGAAGTTAACCAGCTTCGGAAGCGCAGCCAGCAGCTTATTTCGAGGAGTTACGAACTGGGTAAACTTATTTTTTCCTTCTCATTTGTACGTGTCAATATACACTAATCACAGAGTATAATTAGGAGCAGAGAAATTTGGTACCATATTCAAATGGGTCAATATCTTTTCAGCTATCTGCCTTGTTTCGCTGCTCCCTTGATGTGAAGCAGCCGCCAATATTGTAGGCAATGATCTGTCCTGTGATATATTGGAAAGTGAGTTTTCCCCACCCTTAAGCAAGAACTTCTCGATCAACCAGAAGGATTTATGCCATAGAGATTCTTGCTTGTGCATTCTCACCACATTCAGGACATGCTTTATTGTGTCAAATTCGTTTAGTAGGCTCACACTTCTGTCCACATCCACTTTGTCATCCACAAGCGTACAAATGGCTGACAGAGCTGCCTCAGCTACCTCTTCCTTCTCATTGTCTAAACACCTCAATAGCTTTTCAATTGCCTTTGCATGGACTAAACAGAATGTGTTTTGTGAAGAGCAAGCCCCTTTATGAACTGGGCATACTCGTAACTGACCCTTCTTTGATGAACCTAGCGATAGAAGCTTGGGTACGTGGAGAAATTTTATGACCCTTTTTCTTTCAGTGTCTAGGGGCTTTGATAGACTCATGGATGCTGATGAGAGTTTCTCCAACCCAATGGCGGATAGCTTTTGAACTTCATCACTTGATGTTTGCGCCAGAAGGTTAGTAAATACTGATGTAAAATTGTGAAATTTTGCTATAAACAACATTTGTGGATCATGAAGTGTTGATGTGAATCTGACAAGAATCCCCACCGAACCCTCTAGCAAAGTACTTGCATACCTTTTCATTCCCATTCCACCGCTCGGTATTTGATCGATTGTTTCCATGATCTTGGACACAATGTTCTTGTTCACAAGAACGGTGTTTAGAGTCAGGCTCTGGTGAGGTAGTTTTGCTAAGAATGTTGCTGAAAGTGCCTGCCTCTCTGTGACTTGGTCTGTCCAAGTAATGCTACTGATAAGATTCTCCACTTGATCACTGGTTTCACAGAGTCTTTTTGCCATTGTGAAGCCCATGTAAGGGCACAGTGATATAAGCAGTTTTATTGCCACAATTCCAAGTTCTTCATCTGGGCTATTGAGGAACTCTATGAGGGTATCACAAGCTTCACTGCTTTTTACCCCTGAAACAATGGTGTCCATTGTTTTTGGAGATTTGGTCAAGCATAATAGTATTCTAATGAGGCTCTTGCTAAATTCATCTGGGGTCGAGATATCGAGCAAGTCGATGATGTTGCAGACTATATAATCTGAGCTCATAGTGGAGCCATGAGCATTAACTTGAAGTGTCTCGAGATCGAGACTGGAATCGCATATATTTGCCAGAATTTCAGCTGCTTCTGTTTTTGGATCATTAAGTTCATCACAGATGGTACGAGTGAAAATCTCTTCAGCCATGACTTGTACAGTTCCAGCTTTTGCAAGTATTTCACCATTAGGTCTGTGAGATGAAATTTGCAATAAAGCTTTAAATGCCGCATTTCGGACAAGTGTATCTCCTTCGTGCACCATACCGACAAGAGCTGGAGAGGCCTTCTCAGCTACATATGCCATACAATCTTGTCTAATAACCATCTCCCCAAGATAGCTTGCCATTTCTATTCTCATCCACTCATTACCTGTATTTAAATTATGTAATTGTTTTGAAATCGTCCCTATTTATGCTTCGGAGTTTAAATGCAACAAAAACAATATTAAATTCTGAGGTGAAGTGTGTTGAGAATTGTTGAAAGGAGTAGTCCCACCTTGGTTAATTAAGAGGAAGATCATGAGTTTATAAGTAAGGAACACCATCTCCATTGGTATGAAGCCTTTTGGGGAAACCAAAAGTAAAGCCATGAAAGCTTATGCTCAAAATGGACAATACCATACCATTGTGGAAAGTTGTGGTTTCTAACATGGTATTAGAGTCATGCCCTTAATTTAGCCATGTTAATCGAATCCTCAAGTGTCGAACAAAGAAGTTGGTAGCCTCGAAAGGTGTACTCAAAAGTGACCCAAGTATCAAACAAAGGGTGTACTTTGTTTGAGAGCTCCAGAGAAGGAGTCGAGCCTCGATTAAGGGGAGACTATTCAAGGGCTCCATATGTCTCAAGGGAGGCTATACGGTGTATTTTGTTCGAGGGAAGGATTATTGAGGATTATTGAAATGAGTAATCCCACGTTAGCTAATTAAGAGGAAGATCATGAGTTTATAAATAAGAAAACCATCACCATTGGTATGAGGCCTTTTGGGGAAACCAAAAGCAAGGCCATGAGAGCTTATGCTCAAAGTGGAAAATATCATTCCATTATGGAGGTCGTGATTTCTAACAAAGTGTGATCGTTGAATTAGCAACCAATTTCCATGCTACCTGTTATGTACATTTAATGATTTTTAAGTTGGGAGCGTGAGAATTTTACACTTACCTTCAGTAAGATGCCTTACTAGGGGCTCCATGAGTCCATATTCTGCCATGAGCTTGATATTAGTTGGAGATATCTCTAAGTTTCTCAAGGTTTCATCTGCCTTTTCTGAAGCAAATTCATCAGACCTATCGTTCTTCATGACAATCAGCATCGAAATCCCCCCAGTTACTGAACCAATTTGATCAGTCAATGACTGTGTTCTTGAAAGCTCATGCAACAGAAGCAAAGATGTGTTCCGGATTGACCTGTGACCACTTGATAGGAGATTGACCATTCTTGACATGTCCAATTGGTTACAGATTGTCTTCTGCATAATAAGAATTAGTAAATGATGTGTCCAAACTTCTGCACTTTTGTTTGTTTTATAGAATATTAAGACAGTTGTAGTGAATTTGAACCTTGTTGTCTTCATTGATTTCTGCCATTTGATGCAATAACTCAAGAACTGCATATCTAACATCTTTGTTTCTGTACTCCAGACATTCGACGAGCAAAGGCAACATGTCAAAATCGAATATCCGTTCTATGTTGAACTGCTTTCCTTTGCTGATGCTCGACAGGTCTTTGATTGCCTCGAGCATCATTTTGTCTGAACTGGCTAGAGACAGAGCGGCTCTGGCGACTTTGATTGTTGCTATCTCATTACGTTCCTTCCATTTGTCTATTGTAGACTTCAAAGCTCTGTTTGAATTAAAAGCTTTGGAAACAAGCTTTTGTCCTGTGACTGGGCAGAAAACTTCCTCAGATTCTTCAAACTCTTCAAACCACTGGACGATTGCTTTTCTTTCGTATGTCACTCCCGTTTCAAGGCTAACTGGATCATCCATGATGTCTTTCGTCAACGGACAGATGAAGGTCTCGAAAAGAGGCTCGATGTAGTTAGCTGTCGAGGGTCGTTTTGTCGAAACTGCTGTGACATTTCTATACTTAACAGCTTCACTCAACTCTGACTCAACTGGGGATTGTGTATTGTTTGTGTCCCAGTCCATGTCAATGGGGTATAGATCATTTTCAATAACTTCTGGTTGTTCATCCGACGAAGAAGCTCGCATCTCTTGCTCGTTAATTACAGCTTGAGCTGTGACAATTTTAGAGGATATATTCTGCATCTCATCTGAAAGTGATAGAATAGCCACTTTCACATAATTCTGATCCTCAAAACTATAGGTTGCTACCTTGTTCAAGCATTCACCCATTTGTTTTATCAGCTCTTTTAGTGGATCTATGATGCTAATGGGTTCAGAATCTGAGGCTTGTTGAATGCCTGTCAAGAACTTCTCCAGAAGATCCTTTGCAAGATTGATGCTTTTGTTTAGAGATTGGAGGATTTCATCAAATCTTATTGGGTCTATTGCTTGTAGCTCTATTATGGCCATAGATGCTCGATAAAAGTAGCTTCCAATCTCAATAAAATGTCCATGTTCTTCAGTGCACGTTGTGGAATCTAGGATTTTTGAGATGGAAGCTAAGATAAGTTCAGCCATAGACATATTTGGGTTTGTTTTCATGGTGGCCATGTGATTTCCCTTTGAAGAATACACATTTCCTATCATATGCCACTGCTTGCTGACTTTGATGCAGAATCAGTATCATTCAATAGATACAGAACTTTGGGGATCATACAATCATATGCCAAATCATGCGCAGTTCTTCCAAACTCTTCTGGTTTGAAGAAAGAAAAACTTCTGAGTATTTGTAGAAAAAGCAGATGAGATCAGATGTTTTGTTATGAACAGTGAATACAAAAGTTTGAGATACCTTGATTCAAGCTTGTTGATATGATCCCAAATCACTGAAGATCCTGTTAACTTGAAGCTGCTACTTGCTCAATGATTATCGTTGCAGACCAGCTCGCAGGTGTACTTTTATTGAATAAAATTCCCAAATTGGCACTTATATTGCATTCGATCGAGTAAACGTACGGTTGGCTGTGGGCATATACCCGAAACACAAAGCTGATGGCTCTATCGAGAGGACTCGTCTTGTGGCAAAAGGTATCAGACAAACCTATAGCATGATTATCTCGAGATGTTTTCTCTGGTGGCCGAACTCAAAAAAAATTTATACGAGTCATTCGGTCAGTTGCAGCTAATAGATCTTGGACTGCCTTGATGTCAAAAGGCCTTTCTTCATAGAGACCTACACAAATTGGTTTCTGTCCGTCCTCCATCTGGGTTTCGAGCTCAAAGGGGGAAGGGAAAGTTTGAAGGTGAAAAAAGACATATCTTAACGTGAAGGTTAGTGGATTTAGTTCCTTTATGTAAATGATTTTATATTGGAGGTTGAAAAACTGATAGGGAAGACGAAAGTGTTAGAAAAGAAGACTGGGTCAGATCCAGCGGCAGATTGAATAGACTAAATTGAGATTTATAATGTTTCTTTACTAGAAGATCACCCAATTAAGAAAATGACACTTGAATTAATAATTGAGTCCCATGATTCTGTTTTCCTATTGGTAGATTGAATGTGGTTAGAGATCAGTGTAGTTTTCTGGAGATTTGTTCATGGTATTCTCTCAGAACAAGGTTCGTTTCTTTCAGGTCATTGCAGATTATGGGATTTCCATGCCATGGATTCTTATCTACAGAAAGTTCTTCAGCCTTCAACGTGCTTCAAGTTTCAAGTCAAGGCAGGTTATGGTAAGCAGCCAAATAATGGGAAATTCAACCATCTAGATGAGCAACTAATCTGGGTCAGTCTTGATGCACATGTCCAACAGGAAGTGTAGCCCTCTTTTTTTATAATTCCTTGAATTCTAATCTGCACATGTCCAACCTTGCCCTCACCATTACTTTTATAATTCCCGACCTTTAAATGCCCTAATAAATAGGCACAAGTCATTGATTCTAATCTGCAAAAGGTGCTATATTTTCTACGAAACTCCTTCTCCTGTCTTATTATTATCAATCGATGAATTAATGTTTACAAAACACTAAAATTTGAAAACCTGAAAAATTACATGGTATGGAAGAAAAGTTTGTTCTTTTTAATCAGGTTCATATTATAATTTCAAGACAAAGGGACAACTTATGCATTTGACTAGCTTTTAGGTAGGGGACACCATTGAAACTTCTTGGACCAGAATCATCTTCTTGCAATACAATCTAGAAAGGACAAAAATTAAAAGAGAAGGTACGGCACATGACATGGCCTCTCCTCTGCCCAAAACTTGAGACAATCTGTCAAAGTTAGTGTGGAATATTCCATATTTTGACCCCTAACAAAAGTGAATATTTTGTTTCTTCCTTGCAATAGTGAGTGAATCAACAAGTTTAAAGCGAAGAACCAAAACAGACCTCGCCACCAATACTTTTCCTTCAACTTTAAACAAATAATATGTAATAATCAAAAATTATGATTACAGTTAAAACTACATGGCAACACTCCAGCTGATCTTTGGGAGATTACACCGAGATCTTATTTCATTGATCACACTTCGAAAGCCATGTCTCTCAGCATCGCTGAACCTCTAATTGGTTGCATTGTCAAAACTTAAGTCTGGATCAGAGTACAATGAAGGTAGAAATTCCGTAGCTCCCAAATATAACCTATCTTTATTTTGTAAGGTAAAAGTTGAATACGTGAATGGCAGATTGAACTTCCCAGTTCCAAGATTAAGACTACGAATGGTTGGAGAATATGTTATGTACAAGTACCTGGACAGCACTAACCTCGAAGAAGCCAACTTGCCTCCAGAGTCTGATTTCAAGAGTCGTAGACAGGACTGTATGTCAGCCACAGAAGTGTAGCACATATGAGAAAGAGCATCCGACTGAAGTATCTAGGCTGCACTAATTGAAAAAATAGGAAGATTGCAGGACATCCTTGAGATCGAAGTCTCCCCGATCGGGTAAGGGCGGAAACTTTAAAGTGGGGAAGGACTTTTGGAAATTTTCCAGTAACTGTAAAGGCAAAAACCGTTCAATTTGTAAGTTAAAGAAATTCCAGGACAGAAGAAGACAACTAGATCTTTGTAGCTACAGGATAATACAGTCAATGTGTTCTATTTTGTCAGAAGAGGAGTATCTTTTGCCTCTAATAACCAGGATAAGTTAATCGATCAAGTACACATGGGGCGAGATACTTACATTCTCCAGAATAGGAGCCTCGTATAGCTCAACAAATTTCTCCCTTAGTAGCCTGTTCATTTCGTCAACATCGCATGCATGGGTCCAATATGAATCATGGACACCTGTAATCAAACATGGTAAGAAGAGATATGGCCACGATTGAACACTTGAGAATTCACATAAGTTCACTGAGATAAAGGACCCAATCAATAGAGAAGTAAAAGAAAAATGAAGTGAACCTGCAAAGTTAAGGCCTGCCCTTTTGCAGGCGACAGCAGTCATCATCATATGAGAACCATCAAGGGAGTGTACAAAATTTGGAGGAAAAGCTGTTTTCTGACGCTTAGCCATGACCTACAGAAAATAATAGGAATTATCCGGCTAGTAAACATATCATGCAACCAATGAATTGCACTACTGCATACAGTGACCCTTCTCAAGAGAGTTAATTTCAAAAGGTTTTAAAAACATCGAGTCTACCCAATAATTCCTGATTTGGTTGGCCTTACCTTGTCAGTTTCTCGTTGTAGAGTCAACACTTGCAAGGAAGTCTTGATCTGCAATAAGTCAATTACAGTTTCAGTTTGTTGGAGAAGTCCAAATCATTGTTAGCTTCAATTTCACAAATTTATTAGAACTTTACAAGATGTCTTCCTAGTTGCCGGTAAGGTTGTACCACTGGCAGTCCAAGAGGAGTTGTCCACCGAACTGGCTGATTTTCTGAAGCTATTACCTGTTGAAAATTAAATGTGTGAAAAGTTACACCTTAGTCAAGTGACAAAAAGGCAGAGGAACGCTTGCTGAAATGCACATAATATCAGATTTCTATACTTAACTAAGATAAGAAACGTAACATTGCTAAAATAACCCACTTCTCAAGATGTTATAAAATCAAATTATTTGAAGTACCTACGGCTAAGACGAGGGAGCATGAGTCTGAAAATTGAAGAAATATGGAGGAGATCACAACCCTTGTAGTTGTATTTCAAAATTAAGATCTTTGTTCGACGACGATATTAAGCTCGATGTGGGTTTGGGTAAAGGGTGAGGTTCTAGGAAATATGGCTGGTCACCCAACCATTGATGTTAAAATTTCTCAATCTCTACGTTGTGGCTCTACGCTGTGGTAGGGGGGGATGTGAGAAATTGAAACCAAATAGAGGAAAATCTTGACTGGAAGAAATTTAACAGATAGGAAACTGAGGAGTTGGGAGATTTATTGAGTGTGCTTTACGAAATGGTGAAGGTGGATGGTTGATGCATGAAGGCTGTTTTCTTCTAAACCTCTATTTTTGAAGATGGTCAGATCTGATAGGAAGATTATCCAGTTCACTTATGCTTGGAGAAAACCAAATGAGCCTAAGTAATGTAAATGATGTTGAAAGGAGTGAGTAAGTAAAGACTCCGTAAGTCCCATGTGGGTGCATTTTTATGAGGGCTTCAGCGTGAAGGTTTCACCAATCAATGAAACAAAATTTACAAGAGGGGCACTAACGAAGAATTCCCAATTCAAGCTAGTGATACTACGAACTTTATCAAAATAACCAAAATAATGACAATATCACTAAGTAAGGACCGCACCTTTGCACATTCACCAAGCCAGCTCATGATACTTCTTGCTGCTTCAAACATTTCCCCCAAGGCAGTCAAGGTAGTCTGCATGATAAGTCTTCGAATCAGCAGAACGTTCATTTCAAAATAATAATAATTGTAGTAACACATTTTTCTTGTAAATATAAAAGAAAAAGTTGTGTAAAAAAAAGAAACAAAACTATAATATGCATGCAAATAGGCATAAATGTGCTACATTTTTCTCACAAGTAAATGGCAGTTTATTGACTCACTTTAGCTGCATAGCAAGCAGCTGCAAATAATTGTGAATCATCAGCAATGGATGCTCGTTCTTTCAACCTTCTCTTAATCTGATCCCGCGCACCCATATACGTGACACCATACACGGATGTCATGACTGTTTGTTTCACCAGTTTACGATCCACCTAATTGCAGTCACAAATATGAATCCATTAGAGGAAAAACATACAAGCAGCTATTAGAAACAGTTCTAAAAAAATTATTCTAATAGAATTATTAGTAACCAGACCTGATTGATTAAAAGTCTAGCATGCAACGCATTTGGATTAGTTGCAGGATCTTTCTCTGCATCACTTCGCATTATGTCAAGAACTCTGCACCCAGAAAAATATACAAATAAAAAAAGAAACTAGATCCCCTCCGAACGCCAAAAATATGCTCTAAAACACAAGTCATTTGCAAACTTTTATACCGAAAGCATGGAGAATAGTGTCTAAATAGGTATTTTTCCTTTCATACTAGTTGGTAAACGAAGCTTCCAAAGTTGAATGCAGAGAGCAGAGTCACTTAAATTTTATCTAAAAAATATCACTTGCATTGAGCATACTTTCATTTTCTATAGTTTGTGGAATGTGGAAAGCACATATTAGCTCCCTTATCATAATGACCAGGCATCAAAATACTTTTCAGCTTATTCAAACAAACATGGCATTGCCGCCTGCCGGGTTATTCAGACTCAAATTTCATATGTAAAAAACACCAAAGAGAAATTTTAAAAAAGCATTAAAAAAAACGATGAACAATTAAATAATCCTACAATCAAACATGCAAACAAGAGATGCAGTAACCTGGCAGCAATTCCTGAGTATACATCTGCGGGCTTATCTCCTGCTACAAGGTTAACCGCCGCTGCTCCCAACTGAAGAAAAATGACACAATATTAAATGCTAATTAAGAAACAGACCGTGTCATCTCAAAGAAGACCTTTAGTGTAAAAATTAAGGAGTTCCCAAAAATACAGATAGTTAAAAGAAATATTTTTAAAGTTCTTCGTATGTGTAGTAAAAGAAGCATTATTTAAATTCAGGTGCTTTTACTTCGAATAAGCAAGCATTGAGGTATTTTCAATCCCCTAACACGCAGAATAAGAAATAGCCAAGTAAAAATGGAAGTAGCTTCCCTTCTCAGCTGACTTTGTATCTTAATCTTATCTAACTAGAGAAATTGAAAGTACCTTGTCCCTCCCGAGAGCTGCGTAGTGTTGCAAGCCATTGCAGGAACCATCCTGCCAAATCATGGGGAAATAAATAAGGATAAACAAAGATAAATACTGCAGAATAGCTATATGATTATGGTTTCGAAAGGGATAAAGTTGCAGAGAACAAAAATTGCATTCATAATTTGGGGACGAATTGCAAGAATAATGTAAGTAGTACCTGGTGTACAGGCATATGGGAAATAGTTGTTTCCGGCGAGGGACTTCTTAAAGCCTCTGAGAGATTAATACACACTGCCAAGCACTGAAAAGGATCCTCTGCGCCCAACCACCAACGATTTCCTTCTAGAGGCCTGTCTGCCGAATCAAAAATCTCATCCAAATGATTCTCAGTAAATGATATTCGATCCTTGTAAGATAACTTGTCCACACCACCAGCGTATAGATTTGCCAAATGTATCTTCAACCAGCGTAACCCTGACTCTCCAAGTGGCCGTCCCTCCGCAAATTCTAGAATTCCTCGACACATATCAGAACCAAGATGATTCAAATATGGATGCATTGGGTATGCACGACCTCGAAAATCTAAGTTGTGAGGATAGTAAAAGCCCTCCTCTTCTTTCATTTTCCTGGCCACCTGCTCACAATAAAAGTAAATTCAAATGTATTTGACAAGAGTATTCAAATTTAAATTCTATTCATTCAATAAGTTCTTACTGCAAGCTTAAGCTCAATGTCACACCGCTGTGAATGCCTCTCACTATTCTCTTTTTTTGCAGCCT